TGTGGTCTGTGCCTCGGAACTTTAATAAACTGTGATAGCCCATATGGTAATTAGCTGTTGAAATGATCATTGAACTAACCAAGGCAACCTGCTCCCTAATCTCCGTGAGTACATAGGTATTTGCCATCATTACCCAGGGGGCACAAGAATGACATTTCTAAAGAACTGCAATTGCTTTACAGACATTCTTAAACGAATTCACCCAAGCTCTCAATGAAGTCAGTGGCAAATGGAAACCCTGCTGGCAGTGTGCTGTCATCCAACAAACAAAGTTATCTGTCTTAGGGACTGTGGTACAGGAAGAGTGACAGGACATCCCCTGAACTTGGTAGTTAGCATTTCCTTCACTTCAACAAACTCCTCAAATGCCTGAGATCTCCTAGAGGACTATGTCCTCTTCACCACAGACTCCCCAATGCCTATTCCTGGTGCTTGGCAACTTCAGGGAACCACACTAATGCTCGGAGAATTAACAAATAAATGAACGGAGGAAGGGAAATAATAGTTTGCTTACTCCTAGATCCAAAATCTGGGGAGAGCAGGTTAACTCCAAGGGCAAGTTTGCAATGACCCGGGCAGAGCAGCAGACAGGAGATACTCAGTCTCGCGCCAGGAGACTAAGTTAAAAAGAACAAGCGTCCATGAAGGTCTTTGCATTGTGACCACAATGGCTTTTGTGGGGAGCTACCTGCTACCTGTCCTTTTTTTTTCTTTGTTTCACTCCATTGTGTTGCTTAACAAGTAGGATCCAGAAAAGAAAATTGCAGATTTCAGTAGTAGTGAATCCTTTACATGCTTTCTCTAAAAACTGAATCAGGATTAAGGGGGCAGAAGAGAACAAGATCCCATTGCTTGGGAGTGGGGAGGAGATTTCTGAAATGACACCAAAGTTTGTGAAAGTGACCTGGTGGTCGACTTCATTTCACCAACAGTTTTTGCATGTTTCCATCTCAAGGTACAGAAGCAAATGAAAGTAGAAAAAAAAAGTATTAAAAAAATAGGGATGAGAAAAATGATTTAATTAATCAAACATCATGTGTTATTTTTCGTCAGTAGCTACCTGGGTTCATCAAACCTATTTTACTAGGAAAAACCATTCTACTTAATAGGACTGACATAAACATACATGAGAATATATCTGAGTGAAATAGTACCCAACTACTCCATTCTAGAAGATGCCATGGGACAACTTTGAACTTTATCAACATCAGTGTTCCATTAATACATTTGTATCGCTTGATGTCAGGATAACTTTATGTATAAATGGATTTCTTACCTATTGGGGAGAATTTAGAGACATTTAGGACTTGTTTCACTCATGCAAGCATCACCCTGTAACTTGGCTAATCATTGTGAAATTGAATAAAGTTAAATTAAAAAACAAGACCTTTTTAAGCCTCAGCCAGTTTCAGCCAGCTTTGAGACCATGTAAATTTCCAGGGGGCGGAGGGCAGCAGGCCAGTGTCCCCCAGTGAGACCCAAAGCTCCCACATTCCAGCAGCAGGTTCCAGTTAAGTCTCTAATGTCACAAACCTCTGCAATTTTCAGTCCCAAAAATCCTCCAAGTCTTAATGATTGTTCTACGAATCGTGATGAAGCCTAAGTTTGAGACACACAAATGGAAATTGAGTCTTACTGATTGATTGTCATCATCTTTTTTGTTGAAATCTTTCTGTGTGTTTTCTCTCTTGCCCAGTTAATAGGAGAATTCAAGACTTTCCATTTGTGGGTCTTAGTGAATCCACTGCAACATCCCTCTGATTTTAATTCTTCCATCCTAATATATTTGGAATCTTTACACCGCCTGATTGACATAATCATTGGGTTTATATATATTCATGAGACAATTGTTTGGTGACATCAAAATCAGTTTTTTGCTTGGAGAGATGAAATTGGAAGAGCAGTATTGCATGAAGTAGGATTAATCAGGCTATAGAAATAACTGCTGTGAGCAAAACTTTATTGTCAACATTTTCTGACGTGGCTGAGAAGCTGTGTCAGTCTCTTTTTTTGCTCTCTCTGCTGACCTTTTGGGAAATTTGCTTCCACTGATGGGACTGTTGTTCTGTCACAGCAAAAGACAACGGAGTAATGTAAAATGGTGATTGGCAAAGTAAGGGTGCAGGCCGGCTCGTGTGCACTAGTCTCAATAAATTCCTCTTCCCCTCTAAAGGGAACTGAGTGTTACTTAAGTCTTTGAAATTTTCTTAGCACATTTCAGAGCTATCTCACTAGATATCAAAACAACACAGTACATGAGTAATTATAAGTATCCTTCATTGAGTCATTTAAAAAAAAAAGCATAAGATCACTTTACCCTGAAAGTCCTTAATTTTTTTTTTTTTTTTGGCTATGTCTATATATTTTATTCAGTTTAGTTTGACCAAGTAAACTGGTATAGTTGGTTGAATGGAATGCATTCATTAAGTTTCTCTCTTCATAATATAATGCCAGAACGTTTTCTTGAAGTTAGCCAAATTTGGGTTTAATCCAAGTTCAGCAACTTCCCACGAGTGTGACCTTGGCAGTTAATTTCATCGCTCAAAATCCTACGTGTTTTCACCGAGAAGCAAAAGAAGCCAGCCAGGAGAGCATACCTGGCAGGGTCGCCGGGACAGGAGGCCTGCCTGCAGGCCTGACACACAGGAAGCTGAAGAGAAGCTGGACTGGAGCTGTGCTCCACAGGAAGGCGTTTGGCACTCGAGTGTGTCAGTGGGTTTTTATAAATAAAAGTGTTATCGTTGCAGTTTGCAACAAAATTAGAATGCATCTGCCCCCATCTTGAGAAAAGTATTTTTTTCCTTAAAGCATATAAGCAGCAATAAGACTGCACTGAAAGAAACTGCTCCAATATGAGTAGGGCCTAGAGGCCTTCAGCATTTCGCCCCTCCCTAGTAGACAGGCCGTGTTGACTCCTCGGGCCAGGTTCCCTTCCCCAGAGCCTGGACTTCATCCTTCCGTGGGTCTGATGCCCCCAGCAAGCCTCTCCCTCCCTGCAGTGATACCTGCTACTCACACACTTGCCTCATGAGACATGGTCTTCTTTCCCCTCTTCCCTCTGCGCCATTCCTTCTAAAGCAATGAGAAAATGTCCTCAAAAGAGACTTTTGAGGTGTGGTATGAAAGCAGGTCTTCTCTACAACCTGACACCATAGCCTCCATCTTTAACAAGGAATGGAGATGCAGAAATACTGAGTAAAGATCCTCTGTGATTGATCTGCAAAGTGGGAGACACAATCATTTGTTTTTAAATGCACATAAATGTCCTAACAAAATATAGACATGATTCAGGGAAGTGACACCTACATTTGCTTCCTTTTCTAAAACAGACATTTGACAAAATATGACATGATGTGAGAAATTAATACCTCAACAGATGTCCTTTCTTCCTTCCTTCCTTCCATCTAGATTTCTTCCAGTCATCCACCCATCCGTCTGTCCATCCTTCTATCCATATATGGGTAGTTGTTTTAATGTCAAGTTTCTATGAAAACCAGACACTAAATTGAACGAAAATCTGCTCTCTTGATGCCCAGAGGAGGGCAAAAGTACTTTTTACCCAGATTAGTCATATTCACACTTGCTGGGCAGCAGGCTGGGTGCCAGACTCTACAGCGCTGGCTGTTTCTGTAGATGGAAAGGAAATCTGACTATCTTTTCAGAATGAAGTTTGTCTCTCCAAGGGAACTCTCAGTAAACAGAACTGACCCTCCCTTTCTGAAGCCCGCCCTTCAATGAAACAAGGACAGAATCAGGATAAAACTAGACTCAGACTAACTTCTGGGGAAAGACAAAAGATAGAAGCAGGATCTCAGATGCGAAGCCAGCTTGGAAGTCTTGCGTGCAGCCTGCAATGGAGTAGGATCCTTTTAGTGGCTCTGTGACAAAGGGTCGTCTTGATGATGAGGGCTGGGCAGTCCATTCCATTTGTAAGTTGCTCAAATTCTGAGAAGGATTTTCCTTCTATGGAGCCAATATTTGCTTTCTCTTACTGTCTACTGGAGTGCCTTTACCTATCAACTTTTATAATGTTTACCACGCCTCTTTATGCTTCTCTTGTCCTTTTTCAATCAGAGGTACCCTGATCTTTATCTGATCATTCTGCAGCCAGCCATTTATAAAATATTTCTTTTTCCTGAATGTTCCGTTAAAAATCATTATGTGAGCTAAGCGCTGTGACTCTAACCAGAGCACCTGACAATTGATAGGCACTCAGTATCTATTAGTTCATTTTTGTTCTTAAAATACCAATGTGGACAGCAAAGTACAAAGTCAAATAGGTCTAGATTGGACTGCAGTCCAAATACTACCTTGCCCTAAGATCTTGGGCTGCATTTTTCATTTTTCAGAGTCTCCGTGTTCTCAGCCTTTCTCAAGAAAAGCAACAATGAAGCGCCTTTGACTAGGTTGTTTGAAGATTCTGTGCTAGTTGGCACACAGTAGGTGCTCAGTAAATATTAATCTCCGCACACAGCATATTCTTCCAAGCCCACCTACCTCTTCCCCAGAATAGCATTGTAAAGAGAAAATATTCAGCACCCCAGCTCCCGTCAGCCCTTTCTAGTCCCACGAGCTTGGCTAAATCGCTACCCCTTTACTTCCCTCTCAAAGAGAGCCAGTCTACTTCCAAGGCTTGTTGTGAAGGTCAAATAACATATGGCATGGATAGTAACTTTCAAAACATGAGGGCATGTTCTCTGAAAGTAAGGTGGCATCACCAGGAGCCTTTTGTTAGTGTATCACTGCTGCAGGAATGAATGTTCTATTCCCCAAGCCTCATTCCTTCCCCACCAGAAAAAGGAAGTGCATTGTACAAGCTTAGTATGGAAAGCTAGTCCTGTGTGTTTATGCGCCGGCGGGAGTGCACATCCAGGCGGGCTCTCCAGAGACCATTTGGCATCGGAGCTGAGTCAGATTTAGGGTGGACTTAAGGGCTGAGTGGACTCAGACTCCGGGTCCCGGTTGACAGTGACTGACGCTTTTCCTCTGGTTTCTTCCAGGAATTTCTACTATATCACAATGTTGAGGGACCCGGTGTCACGTTACCTGAGCGAGTGGAAACATGTCCAGAGGGGAGCCACGTGGAAAACCTCCCTCCACGTGTGTGACGGGAGAAGCCCCACGCCCGATGAGCTGCCCACCTGCTACCCGGGCGACGACTGGTCTGGGGTCAGCTTGCGGGAGTTCATGGACTGCACCTACAACCTGGCCAACAACCGCCAGGTGCGCATGCTGGCCGACCTCAGCCTGGTAGGCTGCTACAACTTGACTTTCATGAACGAGAGCGAGCGGAACACCATCTTGTTGCAGAGCGCGAAAAACAATCTGAAGAACATGGCCTTCTTCGGGCTCACGGAGTTCCAGCGGAAGACACAGTTTCTCTTCGAGAGGACATTCAACCTCAAGTTCATCTCCCCCTTCACGCAGTTCAACATCACGCGGGCTTCCAACGTGGAGATCAACGAGGGCGCCCGCCAGCGCATCGAGGAGCTGAACTTTCTGGACATGCAGCTGTACGAGTATGCAAAAGATCTCTTCCAGCAGCGCTACCACCACACCAAGCAGGCAGAGCACCAGAGGGACCGGCAAAAGAGGCGGGAGCAGCGGAGGCTGCAGAGGGAGCAGCGTAGCCACCCGTGGCCTAGAGAGGACGGGAACCCCGAGGGGGCGGTCACTGAGGACTACAACAGCCAGGTGGTGAGATGGTGACCCCCTGGCTTTGCCTCCCCCCAGAGGGGGGGATGCGCAGGCACACCTGTGACCTTGGAGGACGTTGGACCCTTCTGTGGACGCCTTGGGGTAGATGGCTGGGTTTAGACACCTGCTTTCTCTCTTTCTCTTGCCGTCATATTTATCCCGCTGGAGATGATGTGTCTCGCGCTTTTCCTCCTGGTGTTTTTCACTCAGTGATATTCAGTAGGGTAGGAGTGCATCTAATAGAGACCACTTTAAAAGGTCCAGGAGAGAAGCACCTGGAAGGAGTCTCACCGCAGCCTGGGTTATACACGGGCACATTGGGAAGCACACTGTGGCTTGGTCGTTAAGCCGGAGCTGGTCTGTTTCATAGTCTCTGTGTGGGGGACACTGCCATGTAAAGAGACAGAGGCCTTGCAGCCTTGGCTGAGGTGATATGAACCCTCACTTGGCTGTCGGTCTCCTCTTTGAACTGTATGTGAATGTGGCTTAAATCGTAAGTAGAGTAACGTGTTTTGTGTTGAGGATGTTGTCAGGCAATCACCTGGCTGTTGCGGGTCAGGACAGGGTGTCACCTGGCAAAGCCCCTGCATCTCAGCTCTGCTCCCCTCACCCCTATCTTGTAGAGAACAGCAAGCAGACTTAAGACAAGCAGATTAAAGCCTGAGGCTCCTGAGAAACGAACTTTGGTGAGGGCAATTGGGGAAACCTTGCTTGTTAATGAAAGCCTTGGAGGGCACATTGTACCACTTGTTATTTTCAATGCAAGGAATGAATGACAAATTAAGGGGTGAAAGCAAGAGGTAAACACGGTGTCTAGCATTTCCAAACCTGCTTCTTTTGTAAAGGAATCTCAGTTTTACCTTTTGAAAACAATTCTCTTCTTTGATATATAAATGTCAGTTTTGAAATGTTGTGATCACGGAAGAAAAGGCATTTAAAAAGGATTTGACCGGAAGAATAGGAGCTTAGCTAGCATGTCTATAAAATATATTCGAGGTCACTAAATAAATAATAACTCTGGCTTAGATCAGGAGACATGCAACTCACAGGGACCGGGAGAGCTCTCCCAGGAGTTTGCACAGACTCAAGTTCCCAGTATCTTGACTCTCTCCAGCCAGAGACTTTTTCTCTCGACTTAGCCTTTACCTGCTGTTTGACTGTGGTAGCAGCCGGCCATAAACATGCAAGCACTGTCTTGCATTGATACGGACATGTTTGTCGTTTAAGCGAGCTTTACAGAAGCCACGTCTCAGCTTCTGGAATACCCTCTCTGGGGTGGAGAGTCTATCAGCCCCAGATTCATGCAGCAGCTGCCAGCACAGAGGTGCCTGTCTTGTGTCTCTGTCATAGACGTGGGAAAGCATGTTAGCCTGGCCTTACAGGCACAGGGTTCATCTGTCACATGCTGAAGGTGTTATGGGAGATTCCACTAGTGTTGGCATGATTGGAGACCCTTTTCATACCTTAAATCTGTCCGCAAGGTAGGCGTGAGCCTTCGCGGTTTCATGGATGAGAAAATAGAAACCATCACTTATTGCCCAGAGGGATCAAACTGTAACCCCGGTGGGCAGTGGACACTTGGTGCTGAGACAGCAGCAAGCCCAGCAGTGATCCAGAGCGGTCCTGTCCACACATCAGCCCATCCACAAGCCAAGAGACTGCTGACTTTTGAAGCAGTGGGACTTGAGCCACTTAGGAGGATGACTTTACAGAGTCAAGTCACTTAGTTGATAGAGATTACGATCACAAAAATACTGGTGTTTCCTTTCCTGAGGACTTATTCCTAAGCTGGAAGGGAAGGAACATGGCAGGTGAGGTTCGGGAGCAGCTCTTGTTCCAGCTTCACATTCCAGGGAGGAGTAAATGCGCTGCCTACAGTGCATGCCTGCCACCGTGAAACACACACACACATGCACACCGTAACAATCCAGTGTTTTATCATTGGAACATCTGAACAAGGGTGAAAGCAATCAAGGTGTTTCTTTTCAATTCACTGTCCATCTTTGGTAGGGTGTGCACGCCTGGCTCAGTCCTGGAGACAGCCTCAGCTGACTTTATGCTGTTCCTTGGTACCTCGGGATTTCTATCAAAAGGCTTCCACGGCCTCGCTGCTGGAGGCGGGACGTATGAGTGCCACTTGAGACCAGATATCATAATGTTCAGAGGGGAAATAATCTTTGTGTTGGCCCGAGGCCAGTGTGGAGCCAATTAGAAGGGGTGACATGGCCTTCTTCCCTCATATCACTTCATTCTAAAGAAGCATGCTTGTCATATCCCGAGGGCCCCGTGTTGATGGAAATGGAAATGTAGGGACACTGTTTTCTCCCCAAGAATTGACTGCACACCTCTATGTGACATGAAAGGTGCTAGCAGAAGGCCCCTGGGACCAGGGCCCCATAGGAGGACAGCAGCCCAAACCAAATCCACTCCACATTTGTTAATGTTAAAAGTTCAGAAACAAACCACCCCCCAAAACCAAAACTTCCCCCAGGGAATTCCCCATCCCGTTGACTCTTGCCCCTTGGGTAGACTTTCCTTCATGGGCTGAGCTGTCCTTGTATACGTGTGTGTCTCTGTGTGTGTGTGTATGGGTTTAATTTATTATTAGTGACTAAGATACAATATTATATTCCCTCTCTACTTCTAATTCCTCTTGGCAGCCTACCCTTGGCAACTAGAGAACGGATGATTTGGATAATCCCAGTAATTGATAACATTAGCATTCATTGTTGGCCAACTGTTAAGAATATCATGTATGATATTGAAAAATGATAAAAATGTATTTCTTAGTAACTAAAGGACATAAGTTTGTCATACATAATTTCATTGGAAGTCTGAAATATAAGGCCTGGTTTAAAAGACTGAGTGGAGTTAGCATTAATACGCAGCAGTGTCTGACAGACCTTGCAAGGTGCACGTTGATGGCTAAAAAATAGCATCTTTTGGAAGGGATTCCATTTGGCTGCTTTAACAGAGAAACTCACAATAACAGTGACTTCAGTGAGGTTGAAGCCACTGCTCTCTCACTGACAAGGCAAACCCATGTGATACAGCTCTGCTCTCTGACATCTCCACAACACAGGTCCTTTCCTTGCCCTGAAGTCTCCCCATCCCAGCTAGAGACAACTGCTGTTTTTCCTGCCGTTTCGTTGACATTTAAGACACAGAGAGATGTGGAAGGAAGTTCCACATATCCCTTCCAGCCACAGCTCATGGACTAGTACCTAGGCGTGAGCCCCATGTAGCTGCACAAAATGTCAGAGGAGAGCTTTCTCATTGGTTGTCATGTGCCTTGATAAATATGAGGGTTCTATTATTCAAAAAACAATGTGAAAATGAATACTGATAATAACAATCAGTCTCTGACACAGAACAGAATTGAAAAATATTTCAAGTGCTTTTCAGTGTCATTTGCTTCATCCTATGTTTTGCAAAGGGTACAATTTAAATTCATAACTTTGTATAGTACTTAATGCTTTTCAAAACATATGGACATTGATAACTCACTTGATCGTCCCTATATGCTAGCATATCAAGTAGGACCTCCGTTCATTATTTTCTTTGATAGTTTGACATGGAGATTCAGAAATGGTGAAAGATTCCCAAAGAGTCTAGTTCATTAACAAAGTTGCCGAGAGCCCCAGTCTCTAGGCTTCATGACTTTCCCTGTTACTTTATTCTGTTCAGCGACACTGTTGAGGCTGGAAATTGCAAGAATCTACATCTTTGTTGATTTTATCTTCCCTTCCCTTCCTTTAGAGCTTAATACATCGAGGTGGGTGGTGGTTGGCTCTCAACCCCCTCTTGCAGGGTGACCTCTGCGTGGGAATGAATACCCGAGACAGGGCAGCTTTGCAGAGAGGTGGAGAAGGACTGCCTGGAACAGTGCTGGCTGATGTTTACACCATCCAGTCCGAAACCATTGCAGAGGAAGGCTGAGGGAATGTGCTCACAGCTCTGCAGGGAAGCCAAGTGTTAGAAAACTTTAGAATCAGTAGCAGCCTGAATAGTGACGCTGAAGGGGTGATCAATAGAACCCCTGCTCAAAGACTGTCCTCTCCGCTTCTTCCCCAGGCTGCTGGAATTTTATCAGCAACTTATTGCTTTGGTTCTAAAAGGTTATTTTTGGTCTTAAATGAGTCCCTTTGCACATTTTCCAGAGAGAGGAAATGCTGTAAGCTGTCATAAGCTAACGTCTTCACTTGGAGTTTATCTGATTCCTACCCAACCAGAACTGGTAGCAGAGAAGGAGGTCTTGTCCAATTGGATCACCCAGGGGTGGCATGTGGGGACAGTAGAAGCTTCTGAAGGGGGAGTAGGTCTGTCAAAGTTGGAAAGATGAGGAATTAAACATGCACCGGAAAATACTGACAAATAGAATAATATCTACTACAGTTTCTGTTCTCAAGAACAAGGGCAGAGTGGAGACAAGTGAACTGGATTCTCTGGGCCATTGAGGGGAATGGGCTGGGGAATGGGGCTCATGAGATAGGAGCAGAGCGCGGGGTTGGGGTGTGAAGACTGATGGAGACTAAGCTGGGTCAGGCACAGGCAAAGAAGACACACCTGATCACACCTGTGTCCGAACGCTTTCCTTCCAATAGTTCTCGTGTCTCCACAGTCAGGTTATGAGGACTCCAGCTCAGGCATCAGGGATTGAGGACTCTACCCGAGGGGTCCCCCTGGAGAGCAAGCTGAGCTCCTGTCTCCACGGAACTTGGGCTTGTCTTCTTCCCTCCCTCCTCCATCCCCACCGGACTTAAGGCTGCCGTTCTCTCACCCCAGCCCCTGGACACATGTGACTACTTCCCTCACATTCTGAATTAGCCCTGTGGGCAACCCGGCTGGGCTCCAAGACTGCCGTATGGTGTAGCTGACGGACGGGAAGCTTATGGACCCATCTTCACAACACATAGCAGAACCACCAATCTTGCAGAGACGCTGGAATTGCCAGAGGACATGTCTTGCTGTTGCCACCAGCAGCAAAAGTCCCTGTACTTCCAGGCAAGAGAACAGATCTCTGGGTGGGACGTCAGGGCTGCACAGGTGTTTCTTGTGCGGTGTTCTGTGTCGTCCACTGCAAAATTGCAACTGTCATCCTCTGACACCTTCAGTGGGACTTCTGTGAGTCTCTTGTGCTTCTGCACTGTGGAGACTCAGCAAAGGGCAGGTGTCCATGCCGAGAAACCTCAGTCCTTGCCAGGGCTTAAAGTAGTTCTCTGAGGACACAGAGCTTGTGTGACTTAGTCATGGTTGCATTCATCTCCTACCAATGTGTCACTTCTTTTATCACGCGTTCATCGTTACTCTCCTTTTCCCACCCTCACCCTCTCCCTACAACAGTTTTGCTTGCATTTATTTTTCACCTGACATATCAAAGATGAAAAATGTTGGAAAGAAAAATCTGGACTTTTGTCTGGTGCCCCATTTTAGCTGTAAAGATAGTTATTCAATAGATAGTAAATTATTTCTCCTAAGAGATATTTCCTTTTGTTCCTGTGCAATAATATGTATGAACTTGGGTACTAGGAGATTGTCTTGTGACATTATCAACCTTTATTGCTATTTAAAAAATGATAGTTTGTAGAACCAAGGATTTCCATTGATGTGAAGCACAATTTAATGAATAAGTTACCATATTAAACTGTTGTGATGTCAAGAACAATTGTTTTCCCCTGTGATTTTGTTGGACATTTTTGCAAGATGAAAAAGTTGGTTAAACACTTTAAGGGATTTATGGAAATTGAATCCATGGGATCAGCTTTGTCAAACTCTAAAAATCCATGCTTTGGATACAAATGTGGTTATTGGGTGTGAGATTATAAAAGCAGAGAAGACAAAGAAAATATAGATTAAAACAATTTAAGATCTCAGGAGCCTAGGAGGATTTCACAGGCTCTCAAACACATAAGCTCTTAAAATCAGGGGCGTTAGGGAAGCTGCCCCTTGGAGAAAACCTGGAATCGGAGCAAAAGAGTTCTGTGCTCAATCTAAAAGAAAAGGAAAGAGAAGGGAAAGGAAGGAGAGGAAGGAAGCATGAAAGGGAAGAGAGAGGACAAAGAAGGAAAACACAACTTTGAAATAAGCTCGCCACAACTTCAGTACACTAGGTTTATCTGTTCTGTCATGACTAGTTTCTATGTATAAGCAAAGACTCAATGAACTGGTAGCGAAAGTATCTTTGAAAAAGCTCTTCAATGATACAGTTTATTGTTTTCTTTTTGTTCTGCAGAGATGGGAATTGGGACTCCTTCCTTGCTCATGGGTTAATGAGATTTTCACGTGGCCATATGCTTGGCTCTAGAACTGAACATCAACCAGAAAAGCTTCCCAAAGACAGTGGTAATTACACACACACACACACACACACACACACACGGTGGGTGGGGTAGGGTTATTGCTTAAGAAAAATCTCAAGGAAACCTAGGTAAAACTAAGGAAAACTGAAGTTTTACTTCTTTTCTCAAATCACCTTGAAATAAGACTGGAACAAAGAAGGCCCAACTCATACAGCTTAGTGCTGTTCACTCCCACAGGTCAATATTTATACCAAGTGTAAATTTCAAAAATCCAGCATAATTATTTCTTTCTTTATAAAACATGTTAAATGCTTTTTATAATGCAAAGAAATACATCATGATCTTAGATCATTTGGAAAATACAAGGTACTTAGTATAGAAACTAGTTATGACATTATTTTTACTATTTCTTTAATAATCTGTGTGCATTAGCAATACAAGTAGAACTTAAAAAATATTTTAGGAATCAAACAAACAAGTTTGTTTTTATTTTCTTTTGTTTGCTCTTACATAGCTCCATTCACTTCCTTTTCCACTTCTTAATTTCTGTTCTCGGATTTTTTTCTTATGTTTATGCTTTTATATTTATTGTTTTCAAGTGTTCATTTCATTGATCTAATATTTTATCTTTTTTTAATTTTTTTAAAGAGTTATTTATTTGTGCATACAGAACTAGGGTACAGGCCAGAGGTGCAGGGGCTGTGAGAGACAGATTGGGGAGCAGAAAAGGCAGATCGAGGAGGTACACTGCTGAGGAGAGCAGCGGGCGGGTCAGGAAAGGTCTGCCGCACCATGTGGTCACCTCTGGGGCAGGCGGGGATGGAACTCATGGGGATTTGCCTTTAGCTTCTTAGTGCTGTGCTTTAACCTGCTGCGCCACCAGGGAGGGCCCTAATATTTTATCTTTTATCTTAAATCTCATCAACTGACTTTGTCTCTTAATGTTTAGTCTTTCATGTTTATTGATAGTTTATCATCATAGTTAATTTCCTATTGGCATTTATTTACCATTTCTCACTGGTGGTTGTAACTGTCTCTTTATTTAGAAACATTTTTTTTTTTAATTCCTATTACTTGAAAAACATGTTAGGCTCAGATAATTATTCCTGCACAATTTCTAATTTCTGAACGATGCTTTGTATCCCTTGGGCTTTGTAAATGATGGATTTTTTTCACGGACACCTGAAAACATATGTGCTGCATTATTAAATTGTATATATATATGCGTGTGTCTGTGTGTGTATGCATACAGATGTGTAGAGAGATCTATTTATATCCTTGTATATCACCAATTAAATGATAACACGTGCATATACACGTCTACATGCATACTAATACTTAATTTATCAAAGACAGAATACATGCTAAAATCTCCAGTTACAACTGTGTTTGCATCACTTCATAAATAATTTTAGTTTATATATTCTGGAGACTTGTTATTTGGTATATATGACTTCCATATTCTTTATTGCTGGAGTCACAAGAAATATTTTCAATTAAAAAAAAGCTTTTGTACCATTTATACTTTCTGTTGTAAGTTTTACTTTCAGTTGAATAATATTTTCAGCAATTAATAGTTTATAATTAACATGGAATTGAATTTATCTTCACATAATCTAGAATCTTTTCTTTTAGCTTGAGAATTGCTATGATTTATAGATTGCTATCTTCTATGTTTTTCTTCTTTTATGATTTCTGCTACTTTTCTTCTTTTGTGTTTTAATGTTGTTTTGATAGTTATGAGGTTTTGAAATTGGTGTTAACAATGAAACCATATTAACTTGACTTCCTTGGGTACTTGAAGATCTTTTCATGTAGATGTTTTCATCATCCCATTTCCAATAATTTATTTTAATTACCTGAGTAAAAAGCCTGGATTGCAAGTAATCTACAAGTTTAGATTTATATTGTTGCTGTTGTTCCAGTGTTATTATACTGTGCTATAATCATAACTATGCTAAAAAGAAATGGGAGAGTAAAAATTTAGGCAAATGTTATTCTCATCCTAATCTGGAAATATTGAGTTGCTTTCAAAGTCAAGGTCCTCGCACCACTGGGTGATGCCTGCAAGTATCTGATCTTTAAATTATTCAAACCGTTGTTGCATATGAAATAGAAAGACATGAAGATGAAGAGGAAATCAGGATCTCACAGATGGGTGTTCAAAAGCCATAGGGACAGCTAGCTTTCAGGGTATGCCATCAGTTCCTGTGAATAATATGTGTGTTCAAGAAGGAAAAAAAAACATTAACAGAGTGAAGATTTTCTCAGGATTCAAGAAATACAATTGCTGTGGAGGTTAATTTATGACTAACTAAACCTATTTTAACAGATACAAAAGGGGGAGAATGAAGTGACCTTTGCAACAGCAAGATTTTTTGTTCATAGATGACTATAATCTGATTGCCAAGAACATTGGCAATCTTAATATCAGGTAATAATTATCGAAAAAATACAACAAAGAATTCTTTTCAGTAAAGGGAAGATGTTGCCTTCACAAATCCATGCTGCTCGGCTAATCTGGGGCACCGCCAGGTGCTTCTGCCTCCCTTCCTTTCGCTCTAGCTCCAGGTGTTAATGACACCAAGTCATTAAGTCCTTGCAAATCAGGGCATCACTCCCAGGAGCCTGCCAGGAAGCCTGCCAGTTAAGTTTTAAGCAGAAGCCTACATATTACTGTTTGAAAAGTCACTGCTCATGGGTACATGATCACATTCAGCTGCAAGTCACAGCCAGTAATTCCCCCGTCACCCTACTGCGCTCCGCATGAAGGTGCAAGCGGAGCAGGATGTATTAGCTCCATCACCACTGAAGAGCCACAATTCTCTGCTAATGTCCTCATTTTCTTTGCTTTCTAGGAGGGAAAGTCATCCCTAGATGAGCTTCTGAAATTTACAAAAGTACATAATACCTTCAGCATCACCGTAATGTTGAACACCCTGGAGTTACTAATGATCAGTTTCACTCAGTCATTGCAGCAAGCTTTCATTAATTTTTGACAGTCCCCAAACTCAGATTACCCAGTTTTTACCCTTCACAATAATTCCTATGACTCAGTAGACCAGGAGAGATTGCACACTGTCTCTGCCATCTTCGGAATCTATAACCCAAAATGATAATTGAACCCTTTATAACACCTTCTTCCTTCCTTTTTTGTCTTTTCAAAAAAAAAACACTCAAGCATTTTCTCTCAGCCAGGCATCTCACTAGATGCTAAAGTTAAAGTGACAGGGTCCTTCTCATTCAGAACACTGTAATATGTCTCACAATCTCTTTAGTATCCTTAGGCCAAGTGAAAGAAAATACGTAAGTCTTGATTCCCAGTTATAATCGGAGAATCCTGCACCTTCAACCCTCTGCACCTGCATGCTCCACCTGTTGTGTCTTCTGTTGTCTGTAATTTATACCCACCATGACAGACCAGCTCCACCCCGTTGGGGCCATCTCATCTTACCCTGCCAGTCCTTGAAGAAGTAGTGCTAAAGAAAGAGTAAAGTTCTATGGAGTCTAATGCTAATATTGCCCTATGCAATCTGGTGAGGACAGGTAATCCTATCCCAACACTTGGCTTGCCAGAATATTTGTATTTCCCATGACAAAGTTATCCTAAGATTCTTTAGCCTGATCAAGTGGGTGTTTATCATGAAGCGACACCTTTTCACTCGAGTTTAGCTTTTGTAGTTTGTTTTCCTGCTTTAGACTCACTATCTTGTTAGCATGTGGATCCTGAACTATCTAGAGATTTCTTTGATGAAAGCCTCAAGGTAAATTGGTTTGCTTTACTCCTGAGATGGTAATTTAGATAGACAAGATGACTCCGACTCTTGAACATTTTCATTGGCCTTTCATGATCAAATCTCCCTGTAAACAATCAGAAATAGGTAACAGCGGTGAATTAACCCCTTGCTGGACAAAAAGAAACCATTCAGCCTTGAGATTTGAGATCTGCCTGTCTCCCACCGTGGCTCTAAACTACCCTTCTCGTGGGTAAACGCCCAACCAAACAGGGTTGTCCCAAAGCAGGCCGTGGAGGCCTGAAAGCTCTAGTTTAGACCTTCCTCTGTCTCATCTAGTTTGTCAATAGATTCTTCTTTACCACAGGCTTAAGCCATTTTCTGGTGGGCACCCCCAGGAAAGGTGCCGAAGGGCCAAGTAGCTTGGAAGGAAAAGAGCAAATCAAAACCCAAGACAAGATGAAGGCTGCCATGGTCAGCCTCCCATAGGCCTCTCTTCAATATCGCTGTCTCTTCCTAGTGTCTCTGTCCGTGTTCCCCAGGTTCCTGGGAGATGTCCAAAGCCAAGAAACATGGCTTCTTCTTCGCGTGTCTCTCTCCTCCATGTGCTTCCTCCAGGTCTGCTTCCAGCATTCTTTGCTTTCTTCTTCTTTCCTAGGCGGCTCCTTTCTAGCTTTACCTCTCTGCCCAGGCCCACCCTCCTTGGGGAGGGGCAGGGAACCTAGGACCCCACCCCCTTTTCTACAACCGCCAGTTTCCAGTCTGTATTTCCAGACTCTGAATATGCACCAAATAAATGTTAGATGAATGGAATTGAAAAAAAAAAAAATCCCAGATGTAAGTCATATCTTAAGGACTTCTCAGCCAGCAGCTAAATCAGAGGTAGACCAGACTTCTTTCCTCCCTGAGGAAAGGAGGAGCCAGAACAGAACTATGTGTAGCTGTAGCAGGTGGGTTGGTAGGACAAATTCTGTTGCACACCTACCCAGCAGCCAATCTGCTTCTCATCAGCCTCCAGATGGGATACGTAGTCCCCATCTGTCCTGACAGGGGCACTTCAGCTGCGTCATCATCTGGGCCCTCGGGTGATTGAAACCCCACAGAAGCCACAGGGCCCCAGACCTGTGGAGCGACGTCCATGATCATCACATCAGCTACTCTCAGGGATGTGGGAATACCTGGTCTCTGCTCCCACCACATAGCCTCGGCTCTGGGTCCAGTTCCAGCTGTCCGGTTTGACATGAACGTTGAAGCAGACCCTGCCTCAAGTCCTCCTGGGAGCACGTGGGGTATGAAGTCTGAAGAGGTGAGTTAATAGGGCTTATGGT